CTCCCTCTTAATGAAAAGGGCAGGGGGACTCAATATTTTATGGCCATAATATTTTGAACCCCCTCCCTCTAAACCTAAAAGAGCAGGGGGACTCACTATTTTATGGCCATAATATTTTGAACCCCGGGTTCAATATTTTATAGGGGGGTTCAATATTTCGCAGCGATATTTTGAACCCGGGTTCAAAATATCGCGGGGTTCAATATATTATATGACACCGGTACTGATAAACTTAGAAAAGTGCTGACAATCTTAGTCGGTGCTGATAAACTTAGACAATTACTGACCCGTTTACTGTCCCTGCTGAAAAACTTAGACAAGTGCTGACATTTACTGATAATTACTGTCCCTATTGTTCTCGCTCTCGGGGAGGCTGCAGTGGTGTGAAATTGATTTTTTTTAACATAGATCATTATTTCATTTATTTATTTTTTTATATAATTTTTAACTATGTCCAGATGATATCTTTAGGAAAAAAATGCTTCTTTGGTCTATTTATAGAAAATTGATTTGTAGAAAAAGAGAAGGGATAAAGAATTTCAAAACCTTCAAAAAGATAAGCAACTAAAAAAAAAAATAAAAATCTTTCTTTAGTAGTTAGATACCAGGTATGAAATTTTACAGAGGTTTTCTCCTTTTCGTAATTAAACAATGTTATTACATGACATGCATTTTATAAATATTTTCTTAATTAACGTTGACTCCCTGACTTTCTTTAATATTAAATTAAAGAATTAAACTGTAAGGTTAGATGTGTTTTATTCAATTTTGATTTAATTTATTCAAATTAGTTTGAATAATTTTAATGAACTCATAGCGCGCGGTGAGGCCGTGGGTGCCCCCTTTTGAGGAAAGGCGTTTTTTTTTTTAATATACTTTTCTTATTATGTACAATTTTAAATTATGTGGAGGCCGCCCATATTTGTTTTTGTGCAGTCAAACATACCCGAATCCAAGCATTTGCAAGAAGAAACCAAAATTAAAAGACAGACGGGGATTTAAATTAAGAAAAGACTTTTTATTTTATTCCTTGGGCAGGGGGAGGGGGCTACGGGCCTGCATTGATCATTGATCCTTTGACATTCATTGATAAAAGTACTGTCCGCATTATTCTTTAGAAATAATGTACATCTTGTAGCTGATTTTCGAATCTGGATTTTCTGGATCCCCACCTGAAAGTGATATTTTAATTCAAATACATGAAAAACTATGACATTTTATATTTTTCATCTTTTGTCTATGCATACTCCTGAAACGTTTCAAAACTTTGATAGAAATTAATATCAATGTTCTTTTCAATTAGAGTGTCGGTTCACGTGGATCTAGTTTCTTTTTGTCTTTTCAAATTAAAACGACGAACGATGAACATGTATTTATTTATTTTATTAAAGTAGAACACACAATTAATACTGTCGTGTTTAAGTTTGTACTCCTTTTTATCTGTTTAGGTACAAAAAATTAATAAATTTAATTAACTTAATAAATCGACGTTTCATAGCTTTGTTCGGTATTTAAACCAGTATCATGATTTGACGGCAACACTGATTTTTATTCGTCCAAAATTATTCAAGTCGTTTAGCTGGTATCCAGCCGAATTACATAATCATTCAACATACAATCGGAAACTCTGTGAAGCACCTGTGTGTAGAAGAAATCGTCTGAGGCGATCCGAGTGTGTACGGTAGCGGGTAAAGAAGACAATAGGTGTCACTGCTGAATTATACAGAAGAACACTCGCCGGTTTTCACTGGAAGTTAGTTACGCAACATTACGCGACAGGTAGACTCTTCTTCAAGACAGTTTGAATTTGAGAAATTCAGCACCAACACATACGTAATACAAATATGCAATGTACAATCCTTCAACCTCTTCTTAGATTAAATAAATATTTTTTTTTTAATATGCCGACGTAACTTAAAGATAAATTTAACGATTAATGAAAAAGAAGATTGATGTAAAAACCAACCGGGGAAAGGCACAAATTGATTAAAGATTTAAGCGAAAATAAATATATGAGAAGGGGTACATTACATCCAAAGTTTTGTAAAAATTACTGGTTCCTAATATGTTTTGTTAAGTCGTGTTAGTGTGTGTGTGGGACAGTTGAGTGAGGAATTTGTTTGATTATCAATCAAATAAAAATAGTTCATAATATATTTCCTTAACTTTTTCTCAGTAATTAAGAATAATTAAAAATCAAACACAATTTATATGCAGCAGTATTATGACAGTAAAAAAATCAGCCGGAGTTAAACTATACATGTATTTTAAACTTTGCCTGGGTCGATACATTGATTTTTTGGAGAGAGAGAGAGGAGGGGGAGAGAGAGATGAATGGTAACTCGTCACGGAAGATAGTGGGAACCTACAGTTAGCGAATAGTCTTAATCTTTTGAAAAGAATAAAACCTGAATCAAATAAATAATGATTACGGGACGGGTAAAAATTGATCAAATCATTCGAAAAACTTACACATTTTTATAAATCATATTCAAGTACCGGTATACTAGATTTTTTTTTTCATGTAACGTGTGTGCATAGAGGGGGGGGGGGGGGGGGTGGGGGGTGGGGGCTTATAGAGGGTTCGAAATAAATATTTGTGAGCACTGGTTCGACGGACTAATGACTTACAATTTTCACTTCTTCGTAAAATATTTTACTAGACAAGTCCGCATTCTGCCTTATTATTATGTTAATATCACCGAGAAAAATTAACATTTTTGAATTAAAATAACTTTTTAATATATTTTATACTAAACTCGGACATTTATCTGTGAAATTCTTAATCTGTTTTTAATATGTGCTTATTTGTAATTAATTGTGTCTTATTTATCGCATTCCCTTTGAAAGAGGATTAAGACATTCCAATTGACAATCTGTGTCTCTGTCGAAATAACTGTTGCTCGTTAGGTGTTAATGCCTCGGGATTTGTTAATCCTTTACCAATAACTTTATTTGTATAATTACTTTATAACCTCTTTCGTGTTTATTCTATCAAAGAAACACACCTGTCCATCAATTAACTCAACTAGTGTCAAAAGTCAATTATTGTATACTCTTAGTCTTACAAATATCTATGTCCATTTTAATCTCTTCAGTTTGGAGGCCAGACGCTCTACCGGCCACATCCAACTCGATCAAGTCTCGTAAGATATTGTTAAAATTCATGTTGATTGTTATTCACCATCGTCTTTAATAAATTCGGAAACCTGATTTGCCAATTCTTGGACTTTATATTGAAAGACTATAAGAAATACGGCATCTTTACCCTTATTACGGCCCACAGCGCCACAACTTTGTTATACTCGCCAACATTCCTTCTTCCCCGTTTATGCTCAGGAACGGATTTAGCCCAGGAATTACCTTCACAACTTATAACCAAAATCTCTAACTGGTTATATTAACATCATAACATCCTACGCCTACCTATTTTAATGAGATGAAATTTAATTTCGGCACATACAATTAAATTAATTCCAATTCACCGATAGCCACAGGGGAAAAATGGAACGTACGAAACATGTAATATTTTTGTTAAAATTGAATCATGATTAAAAAATACTTAAAGATTAAGTTTAAAAACTAAATACTGATCTAACCCCCTCGGCAATGTGAATAAACGGAGCACTTGTCAAGGATTTAAGTAACTTAAAGTGTCAATACTGTTTGTATCTTTAAGAGAGAGTGAGAGAGGGAGGGAGAGAGTGAGAGAGAGAAGAAAAATATTTGAGAGTGGTGCTACTGCTAATATTAGTCTTACCGATGAACCCTGTGTAAGCGACCAAGCAACCATTCATTTAGAAATAATGTTTTAAGTGACAAAATTAACAAGGCATAGTACAAGTTTATATATGGAACACTGTACTGTTCAATAGGGGAACTCCCGTATGAGCAAATGAAACCGGAAATCGTAAACAGAGGTATATAATTATATGACTTGTACAGATGTCCGCGAACATTAGGAAACTGAATTACCTAATAAAAATCAGTAATCATCAATATTTAGAAGATTTCCTTTTCTAACAAGAGACATCTGTCCTGTTTGTGAAAAGAAACTTGATACAACTTTCCGATCGTGAAAGGGGGGGGGCTCAACATTAAAGTCAGATATCTGTCTGCAAAGAAATAGATGAAAACTAACTTGATGATTAATTAATTTTAATTCTCTAATTGAACAGTGATAGATATATTCAACACATAAATTTAAACTTGATTTACTCATAGTTATTCTGAATTATTTTACAGATATCAATAATATTTAGATTAAAAAAATTATAACTGCCTGGGATTTTTTTTATCAAAAATTAAAATAAGACTGTTTTTAAATGCAAAGTATAACACACAGTCATTTTCACACCACTGCAGCCTCCCCGAGAGCGAGAACAATAGGGACAGTAATTATCAGTAAATGTCAGCACTTGTCTAAGTTTTTCAGCAGGGACAGTAAACGGGTCAGTAATTGTCTAAGTTTATCAGCACCGACTAAGATTGTCAGCACTTTTCTAAGTTTATCAGTACCGGCAGTAAAAAGGTCAGTAATTGTCTAAGTTTTTCAGTAAAGACAGCACATTGTCAGTAATTTTCTAAGTTTGTCAGTAAAAAATGGGAATGTCAGTACGTTTCTGACTTAGTAGTGTATTGAGCCATTTCAATGACCAGCTAAAAGTGCTAATTAGGTCAGGCTTCGGTACACAGTCACTTTAAGTATTGAGTGTAAATCATAACAGACTATGTATTAAGGGACTGCACATGACTTCAACAGATCAAAGATTTCTTGAGTGATTTCTTAAAGAAATCAAAATAAAATTTGCTTAGGAAATATTTGCTTATATAGGAGTAAAAATCAAGACAGGAGACTCGGTTGAACATATGAAGAACTGGCTTGAGTCTTTGAGAGTCTCCTGTAGGAATTGTAGCCATCTAATTGATTCTTTTGTTCTGGTAACCAAGAAATGCATTAGACTTGTTTCTTTATGGATGAGATCACTAGATCTACCCACCTCACTATTCTTTAGGGCATCTAGTAGGTACACTATTAGAGGAATCTTCTCAGCCTCAGTCTTCTTACTGAACACATGCCTACAACAATTACAATACAACAATGACAGTACGTCAGTAACGTTCAAAACTTCTTTAGGATTCATCATCAAGTGCCTAAAATATAATGATCTATAACATTCATGAACTCCTCAGAATTGTACACCACTCGGTGACTTATGAATAATATTTTCAAATCTATCTATGAAATCGAGCAAAATAAACTTTCTCATTTCTTATGAAGAGACAGATTGAATGATTGATTGTATATTGTCTTATGTCTTGTTCGAAAAATTTCACTCCTATAGAGATGTCACCATCTACCAGTGAAGGGCCTTTACAGGGCTTTACACCTACTGTGACATGGGCCCTAGGTATATGAGGTCTCATCTGAGGACCTGTAACTTTCATGTCCAAGTCCTGAGCACTTGGCAAAGGAACAATTGATGTCCATTTCTTATTGACTAAGGTGACTGTGATTCATACACACAACCCTCCAATCACAGAGTAAGAGACAGAAAAATGTTTGTTCTTCTCATAAATGAACTTGTATTGCAATGTCATTATAGTTTTTTTCAGTAAAGAATAAATAAAGTGAAAAAGCATATGCAGTTTTATATTTATGATGTCAGGTCATGTTTAAGATAAAAGTATATAGATGCCTATAAATAATTAAATAGCTTTGAGGGTGCTACTTACAATTTTTTGAGGAACATCTCTAATTTGACTGATGCAGCTTCATGCATATTTCTGAGCTTCTTCAATTCTCGCACATGAAGAGCCTACAAATAATATCAAATTTCATTACAATAATATAGGTAAAAAATCAAAGTACTCAGAAGTACAGAGAGCCGGGCTCATTTACAGAGTAGAATGGATTTCTTACATGAATCACATTTATATTCTGATGAAAAAATTATTTTAAAACTATCAATATAAATGATAAGACACTGACAGTGAGTTTTTCAATCCTAATACCACGGTCCGATTTTGTCAGAATCAGAATTAATCTGGTACCGCAGCTGAATGTAAACAAACAGGCCAGTCTGGTTCCCTCTCCTGCTTTACCTCGTGTGTGTAGAGAACTACGGTAACACTGATTATCAAAAATCCTTACGCTAATGAACTATGTTCTTTGACTTAGGAAGTTTTCAAAGTCATTACTACTAATGTTTATTCTATATAGATAAAACTTCCTTTTATTTTTGTTGCTTTATTTAGCGTTTGTATTATCTCAAAAGCGGTTGAGAGTAAGAACTATATTTTTGCACGTAACTTTAAAATGGCGACTATGGGGTCAACATCCTGCCTTGAACAGGATCACATAAGCTGGCAATTGCTCTTTGAGCAATAAGCCCGGCTAAAAACTATGTGTCTAATTTGATTTTATGATCCACACCTGTCAACTTCATGTGATACAGCTCTTTAGATCACGTGATCCTACCAACACTTACATGTTTCAGTGTTTTACTGTGTGATCTTACCAAGACTTGCATGTTTCAGTGTTTAAGTGTGTGATCCTAATAACACTTATATGTTTCAGTGTTTTACTCTGTGATCCTGTCAACACTTACATGTTTCAGTGTTTTACTCTGTGATGCTACAAACACTTACATGTTTCAGTGTTTTACTCTGTGAACCTACCATTTCTTACGAGGGTTGTCCAAAAATTTCGTGGACAATGACGTTTTTGTGAAAATAAATGGTTCTATATAAATCTGTTGTACATCAAAATATTTCTTATGAAAAAACAAGTCAGAATGATTTATTTTTTATTGATGGAACGTTATATTTTTGTAAAAATCAGTGTCCTTAAAGATCACAGATAGTGCGCACGGACCAGTTTGACGTTAAGCGAATTTCATTTTTTAAATTTTATTTTCACAAAAACATCATTGTCCACAAACTTTTTGGACAACCCTCTTACATGTTTAAGTGTTTTACTATGTGATCCTACCAATACTTCCATGTTTCAGTGTTTTACTCTGTGATCCTACCAATACTTATATGTTTCAGGTTTTTTTTTCTGTGATCCTATCATTACTTACATGTTTCAGTGTTTTACTATGTGATCCTACCAATACTTACATGTTTAAGTGTTTTACTATGTGATCCTACCAATACTTATATGTTTCAGTGTTTTACTATGTGATCCTACCAATACTTACATGTTTCAGTGTTTTACTCTGTGATCCTACCAATACTTACATGTTTCAGGGTTTTTTTTCTGTGATCCTATCATTACTTACATGTTTCAGTGTTTTACTGAGTACATCCTTCACATGCTCTTTCTTCTGTTTATCTTTTTTCTCAGATTTCTCTTTTTCTGAGATGTTTGTTGTTATAGCAATATCAAGAGCAGTTTGGAATTCCTCCACAAAAGTGGTTAGAGTTGTCAGGGATTCTTCAATCTACAACCAACACATATTGAATGCCCATATAAATTAATGATTTAATACAGGTAGTTTTAAATGTTATCCATTAGTAATTTAGGACATAGATAGATAAAATCACTCACCTCTGGTAATATATAAGTTGCAATATCTTGTTTTTGATCTGGCCCCATTAGCATTAACTGGTACTCAAAGACTTCAAAAAATTCCTGTACTTGCTTAATAAATATGGGTAATCTGAAAGGAGATAAGTACATGTACATATGCAAGTTTCATGTCTTTTAAACCTAAAAATTTAATGGAAAGTTGAAAGTCCTGTTTTATTACCTGGAATGTGCATATTTAATGATATCGTGTCTTTCTTCCTGAGGTAGTTCCCCGCTTCTTCTGGCAAACAAGTCACACAGAATCACCAGCTTAGAACATGCTGTCAAAATACAACTCATTACAATCCGCTATAATTGTAATAGTGAAAATGTGATCAAGTAATATAAAATTGACTATATAAAGACCTACAGTGAAAACAAAAGACCCATAGGCCAAATCCTCATGTGAGTACCTTTCGCAATGCTGTCCTTTGTAAGATTTTTATTCCATGAAAAATTGTGACCCAATTTATGGCCGCAGTCCAATTACAATCATGTTATGAATCTCTGAATCTTCACAAGAGATTGTTTTAGTACATGTATCAATAGTATTACCACGGCCTTGTAGCTATGGAGAAGAAAATTCTTTTCTTGTATGTACAAAATGTATGTATGCATTACATAAAGTTTGATCCTGATTTTAATCAATTCTAGGTCCAAAATCTAAGGAAAACATCAAGTGAATCAACATCATTTAGAAATGTTTGCAAATGATGATATTATTGTAATTCTTGTACATGACAGTCAAATGTCTAGTTCTAATTCACTAATAAAACCCCCTTCCTCTGGCCTCAAGACATTATTTGAACAATTTAGATTATACACAATCTTGTGGTTCTTAAGAAGTTTTTACCTACCTCTCTCTATTTTTAGATGTATATTTCACATGAATTTCACAGAATAACCAAAAACATCTGACTAGTGTGCTTGATTTCTCACCTACAGCCCCTTCTCGGGTTGTCTGTTTGATAACATAACACAACTTCTGGGGATTTGCAACCAAAGCATCCTCTGGCATCACTCCTTTACTATGGGGCTTCTTACACTTGAAGAGATCTATGATTCTATTGGCACAAGCATGCATATCATCAATCAGACTTACTATTTCTGCAAACAAGAAATGGATAAACAAGACCTTAAAATTCAAACAAAAGGTAAAAATTCTCTATTTTAACTCTGAAATTTAACTCAAAACTATTCAGAAGATTAGTACAATCAATTATTTGTAAACTTAATTTTTGAAAACAACAAGTTTGAGTTCAAATCTTTTATTAACATATATAAGACTTACATAAAACATTATGAAAGCTGCTAAAATATAACAGTTACTGCTAAAATAAGTACATTTACCATATTTAAACATACATATGATTACTTTTCCCCTAGTGTTGATATTTCTAGACTTACGATGTTTTAGAGCTGTATTCCGTAAGAATGTTTGACAGAGAGCCGTGAAAGCGTTAAATTCTGGCATGTGCTCCAGAACTTTGATACAATCCTTTGCCGTGTCCTCCGATAATCCAGAAGGCAAACATTCATTGTACAGATAGTGGAAAATGGTGGTCAATATATTGTCAGCCATGCCATTAAGGGGAGATGCCCTCCAGTTATGTTGAGGGACTGTTAGATTCAGAATTACAGAATGTAACTTAAACTGAAACAAAGAGAGGTTTATTGAATACCTATATTATTGTACAGTCAGATTTATATAAAACTCAAACAATGTTACAGTTTCAAAGTTGATTTAAAATTACAGAATGTAACTAAACTGGAACAATGACACAAATCCTTTATATCAATTCATGTAAAAATTCTCAACTCTATTTAAGTTATCAAATAAAGTACAACCTTCCAAAATGAAAGTCTCATTGATATTCTATTTACCTCCCTGCCACTCTTTGATTTAATCACCAGATCAGAGAAGAATCCTTCCTCTAAGGCAGGCATAAAGCAATAAGAACTGTCTAATTCCACATCTTCTGATTTAACCTGGACATATATATATATACATCTTTAGAATGTTTTTCCTTTCTATGGTTGAAGCAAAGCCCTAATACATGTATATTAAGTGAACCACCTAGACTAAAACTCTTTAAAAACAAAATTTTAATATGACTGAAAATGCAAATAAAATTTAACAATTTCATAAACTTTACATCTTACTGTGTTAAACTGTAAATTGATTTTTTCACCCTAATTATTTGTAAATATTTACACTAATACAGTGTATAAAAAAATAATTCACAAGTTTGCATTGTAAAATCCAGTGTTTTGCTTCCTCTAATTAAAACTTAACTTTAATTATTTCTACCTTCTGACATTGAAGAATACAACATCGTTCACACGTTAGCAGCATCAGATCCTCAGAAGTCTCCACTTTGAATTCTATGACGTGTTCTGCACAGGTCCCAAAGAACTTCAGAGATATGACATCACATTCATGCCTTCCTATCGTGGGCCTAATTCTCTTAACAAACTGTAAAGACAATGCAATGCCTTTATATAGAACAACTAAACTAAAACATCTCAGCATTGATGTATTATAATTTTGCAGTAGGTTGTTTTCCTTAACTATTCACATACAAGTCAGATTTGGGGGAGTAAATTTTCCTCAAAAACTCATTATGTTTTGACATACAAGCAAAGCCTTGAAAATCTGTGAGGAGAAATTATAGTAATTTTGTTACAACCAAAACTTATTCTTCCTCTTCCAAAAAATATTGAATTTTCTTTAAGACTGGCTTTTTATTCTGACCTAGAGTTGTGGACCAACATACAACTCTTATAATCTTAAGTTATAGGTGAGTATCTAGTATGTACAAACCAAAAAATTTATTGCTATTTGAAGAACAGCATATTATAATGTTATTAAAAATATTACATTTAACAGAATATTGTAATGTTATTAAAAATATTACAGATGTTAAAATTATACAAACCTCATAAGTATCTGAGTTAAAGAATGGCATGATTTCTGATCCATCAGGTACCTTCCATGACACATCATTGTTTTCATACAAATGAAACTGACACCTGTATAAAATATGAAAGATCAATGTGACAAATTATAGTTCCTTTGTAAGTGTACCGGGAAACTTTACAAAAGCAATTTTAGTTAAAACAACATTTTTGTAAGCAATAGTGTTGGTCTCGCCAAAACTACCATGACCAGAATGCTGAAATATTTGAATGGAAAGTAGCTAGGATACATACAGTATAAAAACTCATCACATTATTTTATTTCAACAGTACAATTACCATACAGTAAGGGTTGATTTTTCTTTTGTCAACATAAACAGGGTCCATTCAATAGTTCATTCTCTTAAACTGTACAACAGTATAGAGAAAATACAAAACATAAATTATGTACAATACATATAATAATCCAAACTCTGCTTGCTCATTGGAAAATTTGTCTGACAACATCAGAACATGAATTGGTATGTACTAATCTCAGGAACAGAGCAACGTTTCAAAATTAGTTTGTTTCGATTTTAAATACTGCATTAAATAACTAAAATTTATTTTTGTTTTGTTTTCCATAAAAACAATAACTCACATTACAATATTTTTCTGATATACTAGTAATTTTAGAGAGATTTTAGTCAATCAAAACTCACAGATAAACTCAGTATCCCCGTATCTTCTTGAAATACAATAGGTAATTTTTTTAAGTGCCTGTGCCTCATACACATGTGCTTCAGGATTTAAAAATGTTTATTGTTATCCAAAATCTTAGATAATCATGCATGATTGATTTATATTTCACACCTAATTTTTTTTCTTCAGAATAAAAATTTTGATAAACAATCTTAATGTTTTAACATATATCTTAGACTTTAACAAATTTAAAATAAAATTGGCAAGTTCTATGGTTCAAAGAATGACAGAATGTTGGGTGGTCAGACAGCACAGAAAAACAATATGCCTCTCCCTCCCCCTTCTTCCATCTCACAGCATAAAATTTTTTTACAGGTAGGAATATCATGCTTTGCCTAGATAGAACGTTCTATCGTTAAAATGATATTGTCCTACGGACCCGGTTTAACGATAGAATTCGTTCAGTGTATTCATAATGTAGCAAAAGAAACATAGGCGATAACTCGTACTCACTATAACTCAGTGCATTTACTACGAACAATCTAGAGAGTTCCGAATGTAAACATGGCAGGTAAATTTGAAGCGAGAGAAAAACGTTGAGAAAATTAATTGGATTTTCGTCTTTAGATGGATTATTTTCCGAGATAAAAGGCATAAGCAATATCAAAAAGGTTTGTTTTTATTAATTTGGTAGTTATTTCCAATGCAAGTCCTTATATATTCTTCAAAAACGTTTCGGAGCGGATCCGCTCCGATTTGCTACGTTGCAAGTATATGGGACATATTCTAACTGTGGCGAGGGCTTGTACCGAGACACAGTTAGATCATTCTAACTATGCTTTGCCTAGCTGCAAAAATGTAGCCTTATTTATGACTTTATGTGTAAGTTGCATTACCAAACCGAAGCCTGAGTAATGCTGATTTTAGCTATTTAGAATGTTTTATTCACTAATTATCTGCAATATATCCATTAAATCAGTGTGAGTTAATTTTTTTTTTGACTTATGTTGCTATTCTTAGGAGAATTTTGCTTTTAGAAGCCATGCATTGTGTGTCCAAAGTAACAGCAGAAAAAAATTCTATTGAATAAATGTGCAGTGGTCCAAATTTTCTCTTCCCCCAAGCGTTGTTGTTCGAGTTCGCAGTGACAAGCAACCCTTCGCATCGCTTGCTGTGCTCATCATCATAGAGTAACAAGCGACCCTTCGCATCGCTTGCTGTGCTCACCATCATAGACTGATGATAGAGTAACAAGCGACCCTTCGCATCACTTGCTGTGCTCACCATCATAAATAAATAATTAAGAGCATGGACTTGTGCTTTGCACTCTTCTGCCTCTAAATTTGAGTCTATGATAGAGAACCTGTCTTTTCCTAAATGATACATATTTTGTCTTCATCTGACAATGACATTAACATTTTAAACAACTCTGCTCGGCTTGGGAACCAAGATTCTGGCATTCTTTTCCTGCCTCATTCTTTCAATTAATGCATCAATTGGATCTATACCAGGATTTTCAAATTCTATCCTTTAGAGCACAACAAATAACAGCCTTCTTCCTAATCCGAGATTCCTCTGACTATAACCCCTGCTTTTATATTATGACTTGTGCAGGTCATAATATAAAAGCGGAGGTTAGAGTCAGAGGAATCTCGGATTACCTTCTTCCCTGTTAACCGACCTACCCAAAATTTTTGCATCTGACCCTTAAACACCCAATTTTATGTTAACGCCCCCTACATCTACCTGATTCAAGATCAATAATTTACCGCCTGTCAATCATTAAATAACAATAACTTCTGATTTGATTGACAGGTCAGCTACCTGTGCTTCCTGATAATATGAGTTTGCATGTTTTGAAAACAATTACCTGGTCACGCGTCAAACGCTTTCATGTACCCGCATAGTATACACGAGGGTTAGAAAACTCCAATGTTTGAATTTTATTTCAAAAATTAATTGAAAGTAGATTATTAAAACATTGACATTATAAAATATATCTTTTTCTATCTTCACTGCTGTTTGTTACTTGAAAGTGTTATATCGTCCACGTTATCTGTAGAAAAAAGACCGCGTCCACAGAAACCGGCTCTATATTTGCCGTAATTGGAAGTCCGACAATTTAAATTATTTTTTTAAGAAATGGGATATAAGAAAAATATTCAGCACTAATAAACGGCATAACATATTTTTTAAAGATGTTTTATTTTGTACTATGGCTACAATCCGCACGATGTTGTACAGAAATTGATGTCAGAATTAATGCTCGAATTTCCATTAGCGTCTGTATATATACATAATGAAAATGTGAAGATAATTAATTATAGTGATCAAATTTGAAAAGAAATCTTTCTAACAATAAAATTTTGTTAACACGAAGAATAAAAAATAGGGAATATTTTAGACAACATTGTTGACCAGGAAAAAAAACATTCCGATCGCGGTAAATGCAACATGTTCACATGCATGACGAATAAGTGGATTAATAAATTTTTTATTTCAATATTCATACTTTTTTAATCAAGTGATTTCTTTTATTGAAGACTAAAAAAGATAAATAACATTGAATTGTAGTTTTTACTCGTGATTTTTTCTTTTATGTAAGGAAAAAAAATTTCTAAAACAATATACATGTATCTGATTATTTTTTTCCCTTCAAAACATTACCATGATTACGATGAATGCATTAAGTTTACAAACAAATTTCATATTAAAATAATTATTTTATGTAGTTTCACTCAAAACCAGACACAAAACACGTAATGTTGACCCTGATTACCAAACACAGACTTCCTGTGTAATACTACCCATACACAGATTTTTGACATCTTGGGTATTGGGGGTCTCCAAGTAAATAACACCACTGTTACTTCGACCACTCCCCTCCTCAGGTAACCGTACGGTAAAAAAATAGGGTCTTTAAGGGGTTCTTTTTAGTGTTGGGGGAAAAATATTGAATCTTAAGAATTTCATGTTCAAAAACTGAAAAAGATATACATATTCATGTGGTACATGTATTTCATGAAATTGTATGTTTGAAATTTGGACTTTCAGAGAATACCACTTGAGTTGTATAAAACATGAAATTTAATTTTAAAAGATAACTTTGACCTATGACATGTTCAATAATTTGTTTTAGTATAAGTTCATACCCAAAAAAATACCATTTAGAAAAAAAAATAATTTAAAAAATATACATATATTCCTATGGCCGATGATATATACACGACCGTTGTGCACATTATATGGAAAGTCTACTTACACGACCGTCGTGCGAATAGCTATTGCAAAGTAATGAGATATATACACGACCGTCGTGCATAGATATTAAGTAAAATCTATTTACACGACCGTCTTGCATATAGCAATTGCACATTACCCGAGATATGTACACGACCGCATTTATTGTCGTGTACCCTAAATTCGTCCCCAAACTTCTCGAGACCAGCACGTTTCGAACTTCGTATCGAAGACGTCATTATATAAATATTGCATGTAGTTGAGTGTAACATTGAAAATTTTCACCCCAAGAAAACCATTGTCAACCGAGGCGCAGCCAAGGTTGACAATGGTTTTCGAGGGGTGAAAATTTTCAATGTTACACTCAACTACATGCTATATTTATTATATTGTACTGAATGTTTTATACAAATACATATAAATATACATTTTTTTCAATGGGTGGCTCTGTAGTTCTCCGGTCTATCAATATTTTTTTTTCAGAGAGCTACAGATCTGCAGCTATGCTCAAATATTTTGATATTCTATCGGTTTTTGCCAGTAAGGTCAATGAATTTTGGAAAATCTAAAATAAAACATTGTATAATTCACATATCAGGTAATTTGGTGAGCATACAGTAACATGACATCGTTGAAAGCACGTTCGTGTTTGTTTGTTTTTTGTTTTTTTGTTTTTTAATTTTGTTAAAGAAAACGGAGTCGAGTCGGTATAATCGAAAGCAATTTATGTTCTCTATATAATGAAGAGAGGAAACTTTCCACTTCCTTTACGGTTCTCACAAAAAATCACCTTCTTTCCACTAATCAAAATTAAGTGTACGTTTAAAATGGTTATCCACGTGCAGATATAATTACGTTTATTTAGCGTCTGATTCATGCAGTTTTGTAATTAAGGTGCTATACTATAATTTGGAAGTCAAAGAGAATTATTAATAAAATTTTGTTTTTTTTAAAGTAACATAAGTTCATAAAAAACAGGTTTGACAATTATTTTTTGAAAATTAAATTTTAGTGCCTTTTGAAAATATATTGGTCAATTTTTTATACAATAATATAAAGAGAGATTCTCGATTTTATTTCCTAATATAGAGAGAAATTTCATTTTATTTAGGTTGTGCATTGTTTGTTCTCAATATTTCCCCAATTATACAAGATATCAGCACCACTAGCACTGAGATGTTTGAATTAAATCAGTGCGTCAGGTCATTTGTTCATGTTGTTTATTCCACAGAATCGATATCCTTAATATGATTCAGATTGAAACAAATGGTTTAATTAATACAACAAAGTTCAAAAGTCAATAAGAAGTAAATGATTTCTGTCAACAAGTGACAATCACTACATACATCGGATACATGTAACCAAGTAATTGGTTGTACATGCGAACCGTCTTAATTGGGACGAAACGCCTCAGTGCGAATGGTCTGTGGGGACGAACCGTCTCGCACTCAAACAAGGAAAGATAAATACAATGCATGTTTATGTTTTACGACGGTCGTTTAAATGGGTACAAGTCAAAACGGCACCTGGTGAAAACGGCACTTAGGAAATATGCAAAACGGCACTTGAGAGTAGTCAAAACGGCACTTTAGAAAAGTCAAAACGGCACTTTTTTTTTATTTTGAGAATTTGATATTGTTTATACAAAAAACAGGTCTTTATTTTTCATTTATAGTAATAAATTTGTATATTATTATTGATAAAAATCAGGCGCGGATCCAGGATTTGGAGTTAGGGGGGGGCGCCAAAATTAGGCAAGGGGTCTGGGGGCCGCCTTGAAGCCCCCAGTGGGTCCAGGGCAAAGCCCTGGTGGGGGCCCATGGGGCGAAGCCCCCTGAAGCTCCTGGATTCTAGAGATTTTGAAGGGTTAAAATGAGGTCTACCAAAGCCCTGGTGGGGGCCCAGGGGGCGAAGCCCCCGGAAGCTCCTGGATTCTAGAGATTTTGAAGGGTAAAAATGAGTTCTACCAAGTAGACATATTTGATTTACGCTAACTTTGACAATTTTAGGGGGGGCGCGCGCCGGGTGCGCCCCCCCTTAAATCCGCCACTGAAAATGTTTAAAAAATATTTTTAGGAAAAAATACTAATTCATTTGAAAATTATTATACTTTTGTATACAGTGGTTAGATTTTTTAAATGTACTATTTTTTAAAAGTTATATGTATATTATTTTTATATGTCTATTATTTTCTACAAAAGAGATCAAATCCAAATTATATTATTATGATCCTTTGAAATTCAAAAAATAACAGTATTGCAAATATGTATGTGTCACTGTTTTGGGGGGTACCAGTCACAGCTGACTAATTAGAAGCCAGTTGAGTATGTTTACTTAGAATACACTTGTAGGAATAAGAAACAAAAGACCATTTCACACCTCCCTTTCAATACTCTGCTGATCGTCAATTTACAAATAATAATTTCTATAGATGATAAAATGATGCTGTTATTGTTTATAATCTTGTCTTGAAAATAACGTTATATTTAAAAGCAATGCTGTTATTTCATTAATTAAAAAAAGGAGAAAAAGATACGGATATTTCAAGGAATAAAATGAGAAAAAATCATTTCAAATCTGGTATTCAAATGTATGAATCTGTGGAAAAAAATTATGTATATGCATAGGTAAAAATTCATACAAATATATCACTGAGATTTCATAAAAACTTATTACAGTGTATACATGACTTTAATTGTTTTCTTGGAAAAAATGGACCCTCCCAGAAAAAAATATAATATTATCTGTATATATACTCACACACAATCAATATATATATCAAATTATCATTGCATATATACTTTTTTCTGTAAGTGCCATTTTGACCAAGTGCCGTTTTCACCAAGTGCCGTTTTGCATAATCCAGGTGCCGTTTTCACTAGGTGCCGTTTTCACCAGGTACCGTTTGAACCATAATTCGTTTAAATAGTCATTGAAATTATATACACGACGGTCGTGCGAATAGTCATTGAAATTATATACACGACGGTCGTGCGAATAGTCATTGAAATTATATACACGACGGTCGTGCGAATAGTCTTTGAAATTATATACACGACGGTCGTGTATATAGACACTGCCTATTCCTATACCTACCTACATTATTTTTACCTTATTTCAATGTTATAGTATGTTTCAGATAAGGAGCAAAGGTTAACTTAAAAAAATGTTGCTACTCCCTAAACTCTACAAAAAGTAGACTGTTACGTAAGTCTTAGTAATATGATGTTTACCTTTTTCCCGCTAAACCTTCAAGGAATGAAGGATAAAACATTCTATTTTTAGATTCGACTCATTCTTCCTTTTCCGAGACATTCATGTTGACTGTCATCAACAATTTAGAATTCTCACTTAAAATACTCAATAACCAAGATAAATAAACAAAACAAACAAGGTTAGTAAATCAATACAAGACGTTGTTATTATTAAAAAAAACGCACCCTTCTATTCCACTGGTGTCAACTGATCCAGCCAAAGAAACGCATTCCACAATCTGAAAGAGAAAAAGAATGCAAATTTAAAAGAAAACTTTCAACTCTTATCACGACAATATGGATAAAAGTTAACTTTTATCATGCCTTCCATGTCCCGTAGTATTTTTCCTCGCTCGCAGAACTTGCATCCCTGCTGCTGTTCGCCATGTTTACAATAGATACGCATGCGCAGTTGCTACTTTGAGTATTAGGTTGTTCCTAAACAATTTCGAAACTAATAAGCCTATTTCATTTTCCCCCAACTTTTACTAATTAACAATCAGTTTAGATAATTCATTTAAATTACAATTCATTTTCCAGACAACAAAGTAATCTTTTTGCTGTATTTTTCATTCAAAAGCTTGTTCATTTGTAGTATTTAGATTCCAAAGTCTTTCTCTATCTGAAAAGATAGAGAAAGACTGAAAATGTTCTATTCTTTTTTTCTAGCATTTAATAACTACTTAAAGATATCATAATCTTGAAACTAGTGCGTCGTTTGCTTGCTGAAAATAGCCTGTTTTAAAATATTATATTAACTTTAATATACCGTATAAGTGGAAATTTTAGCGAGACGCAAATTTAGCAGTTTGACCTTAAAAGTTGGTGTTTTATTTTTAGCGAGGTGTAATTTTAGCTGACTAAAAAAGCTATAACAAATAAAGCGCAGTTAATTTTTTAGCGATATTCAATTTTAGCGATCTCGGCTTTCTCGCTAATAATGCCAAAATTAAATCCTCGCTAAAAATTCTGCTTATATGCGTATATTGTGACATATGATATTTTCAAAACGTTCTAATTTCAGCGATTTTTTATCTTTCATTTAACAAGTGTATTCAGACACACCAAAAACACACAATACACAAGAAAAAAAACATCCCGAAACGATGAGCCTATGGTCTGACATGCATCCATGCATTGTCAATTTCACTTAGCTGTCGAAGCATTTAGTTTCTTTGTCAGTTATAGTGATGTTATAGTTTATCTTTAAACTCAAAATGTATTCGTTAAATTAATATCCTTAAATTTTTAAGATTCGAGACATTTCTTTGCTGAGAAGTTTATAACAGTTATCATGATCTTTGGGTATTATGATTTAGATGAAACAAAAATATATGTAACACGATTGGGGCGCTCTTAAAAGATTTAAAATCACCCTTGTTTCCATATGTTATTTTAAAAAAAAAAGCTGTCTAAGACAATTCTTAAAAATAATCACAAGTTGCAAAATGTGATTTTACTTTGATATTAGCCCTTTTTACTTTATGAAAATACCGCCCCATCCTCAAACAGACACGAATAGTGAGGCAGTCAAGTTCAATAAGGGTTATTTAAAGGTACTTGGACACAGATTTGAAGTTAATATTTTCTCATTTTTTCTGTATAACATCACGAATTATATATTTTAATAGCATTTCACACAAAAATTAATTAAAAATCTTATTTCGTTTAAAAGTTATTAAAACTTTAAATTTTTTGGCGGGTTTGATTGACACATCCTTGCACTTTCACAAATTTTAACTTTATTCTTAATCCTTAGGAAAAGTGGCAATTTTGATGTGTGTTAATGAGAAATATTAAAACTTTTATCAAGAAAAATAATTTTATTCAGAGTAGAAATGTTAGAAAGCAAAACACCTTCACAAATATCGTCATTCCGAACTAAGAGATGCGTGCAGAGTTTAGCAAATCGAGCACACTCGTGTTATGTACACAGTTTTTGTAAACAAGGCTCGAGTTCTGATATTGTTTATATTTAGAATTCACCGGGTGTGTTCAATCGTCACAGTGTGTTTACCACAACTGCACGGACTGACAATATATTGTGTGTTTGTTTTGCTTTCGAACGTGTCTACTCTGAATTTTCTGGATTATAGTATTAATATTTTTCATTTATACAAAACGAGATTGCCACTTTTCCTAAGGATTAGGAATAAAATTAAATTTGTGAGAGTGCAACGAAATGTCAATCAAACCCGCCGAAAAATTTGAAATTTCAATATCTTTTAAACGAAATAAGATTTTTAATTAATTTTTGTGTGAAATGCTATTAAAATATATAAGTCGTAATATTATAGAGAAAATAATAACTTCAAATCTGTGTCCAAGTACCTTTAATACCGAGAGAAGTTGGATCGCCCCATCCAAATACGAAATCGAATTTACAAGTTCTGATTTAATCTCTCTCCCCCTTTCCTTTTTTACTGATTTTTTTTCCTGGTTTGTCTTTCATTTTCAAAAACGGCTTACGTACTCGATCCCTGCCATGATTTAATAAATATTTCAAATAAAAAAATACATATTTACGAATGCCCATTGAGCTAATTTTCGTAGGTTAAAAAATATTTTGTGTGTTTTTATATTTGAAAGCCAACTGAGTTCATTTTCGCAATTATTACTTTTTTTTGTCGCGTTACAACACACGAAAATGAGCTCAATAGGCTTTCGTATATAAAGAGAAAATAGTTTTTACTTCCGAAAATGAGCTCAATTGGCCTTTCATATTATTTTACGAAATTAAATTGTATTTGCAAGCCACATTGCACATGGTATCAAAACTAGTTTCTTGATAACAACATTTTATTTCAAGTTCTAAATGGTTTACCAATCCGCTTTCAGTGAAAGTGGGCCGCTTTCAGTGAAAGTGGGATATTAATTTGGGTCTATCTGTATCTCTGTTTGTGTACACGGTTTCCTTACCAGACGACAAATCGAGAGGCCTTTAAGCTTTTCCTATGGACTCTTATACCAAAACTCTCTATGGTCTAAAAACGACCTCTATTTCACTTTGAGGTCAAAAGGTCAAGGTCATAAAACTAATACATTCTGTTTGTGTGTAACACTTTCTTTCCTTGGGATACTTGGAGAAACCTCCAATGAATTTTCTATTACAACTCCCTATGGTCAATAGAATAATATTCTTTTTAAATTTGATGTAAAAAGTTGAGGGTCATCATATCTTGATACACTCTGTATGTAATTTTTCTGTTCCTCAATGATATCTCATGACAACTTTGAGTTTTTTTGATGAAAATTTACCCTTCAAGTCACCATGGCCCAGAAAAAAAACAACTTTTGATTTTGAGGTGAAAAGATTAAAGTTTGAGGTAAAATTTCAGTCTAATGGACTGGTTTTTGACAAGATTTTTCATAGATCTTTCCTCTATATTTCAATACAAACCTTTCCTATTGTGACTCCACTTTGCCCCCAAGGGAATGAAAGAAACCACTCACAAACTAAACTGCTTCTACATAAGTTTTACCTTCAAGTGGTTCAGAAAAATTCTCTAATTACCCCATCTTATATTTTGCCTTTTATTGATTATCTCCCTTTGGAAGGGGGTTGCCCTTCACTTAAACAATTTACAGTCCCCAGGGATGCTTGTACAGACTTTGATTAAAATTGGCCCCATGGTTCTTGAGAATTTGAAAATGTAAAATTTTACGAACAGCTAGACAGAAAGCTAGACATAGAGACGCTAAACAAACTTGAGGTTTCAGCTCTGGATGGCTAGAACTATTATTTTCAAACAACCAAATGAAAAACAAAGTATTCTGACTTGAATCTTCATAACAAAGTGTTTGGTATATATGTACAACAAATATATCAAGTATACTTAACTTTGACAAAAATGTTACTGTCCTTAAACTTCATAGACAACCTTCAGACTAGTATAAACAACTATTTATATAAATAAGACTCAACTTCATAATTTAGAAATGGATCAAGGTTTATATGATCTTAAGATGTACATCTAGCAGAAATTATGGACCCTGGGCCAGACTATTATATGTATTAAGATATAAAAAAGTTGTCCAGTGAATAGACTTTTGCTACACTCCAAATGAACCAATTGTTAATTCACACTTCAAGGCAGGCATATGCAAAAGAAGACAGTTTTTGTACTTGACAGAATAGTCCTATTTATTTACAGCTATTGGTAGCAGATCACATATTGCACATAGCTACAATTAACATGTTGGCATTATATACGTTTCATGAAAAATAGCATACAAACAACAAATAAACAACAAGTAATTTGTCCACACTCACCAACATCATTCAGACTCAAAAACAGACTCAATTGTACAGTTCAATTTAAAATTATAATACATGCAGAAAAATAAAGGAGTTTCATTTGGGAAGGGGGATGTTAAATACTTTTTGAGTTTTTAACTGAAATAAAAGCAATAACTAGTTTTACTCTGACATTTAACCAATCAGTTCACCGTCTATATATAAAATAATGAAAATACATGTACACATCTCCAGAGTGATCTATCTTAATTAAAACCATAAAAATATATATAGCACTGAAATGGAATGTGGCCAAAAATAGGTGGAACCAAAATGTACTCTTTTACTTTGTCACACATCAGAAGCCTGAAGAGACTTAAATGTTTTTTTTTTGTTGTTGTTGTATATGATAACTGCCTCTGCACACAATCTGTGTACAATCCACAAATGATTGCATAACTATTTACAGAAACCCTGAGATTACAGTTACAATGTTTATGGCGTTTCCATGGCAGCATGTATCACCAGTGTTATGAATTAACAGTTTTACAAAGACACTAAGACAACAAAACTGTCTCAGAGAAAACAACAAAAAATGCTATAAAATCAAGACTTGGTACAGAAATTCCAATCGGGATAGTATGATGTGATTATGCTTGATCTTTAAAAGTGACACATTCAATAAAGATGAATATCATGCGGTTAAATCTTGTGTCAATCCTTTTAAATTTTGGCCAAAAACAAAATCAAAACAAACATAGGTACATAAATCATAACCTGATTGTACATAGAATATATAAATGCCATTTTATCACAGTGAGAAGGTGTGCCTAATGTATTACATGTAAACAGCAACATACATCTGTCTGAGTAAAAGTATTTCCAATAAAAAAAAAAAAATGATTTTCTTTATATGGGAATGGATGTGTTCAAATTAATAAAATCACAGAAAAAGTAACTTTCAGATCTGTAACATAGGGGATGCCTTGAACTGAGGACTGGAGGTAGAGACTTATTGTCACAAGTTCTAGATCAAACCCTTAGCTGCCTGATTCAAATATCTAAAAGCAATGCACAGGGAG